CATGTGCCCTGACAGAGAATCAAACTGGTGACCTCTTGATGCATGGGTTCATGCTCAACCACTGAGCCACACCAGCTGGGCTGACCATTTTACCTTCTAAATCTCCCTCTCACCTGTCCATTTGTCTTCATCTCCTCCACCACTACCATCATCATCTTGCTTCCAAATGGTGACTATGTTTCAATCTATTCTCCCAGCAGACAGAGCAGTCTTTTCAAAACACAGTCAGATGATATAACCCCCTGCTTAACGTTAGTCTCCCTAAAGACCTAAGTCCCTACATGAATTTCAAGACCCTCCCTGTTATAGTTTTTATCTTACTCTCCAGCCTCCTATGGACTCTATCTGCTCCATTTAACCTTCTGGCATCAGATAGAAGATAATGGTTCAAATCTAGCGTGCTTCCAGTTCCCCAATTGCTCCAAGTTCTTTCCTACATCAGGACTTTTGCACATGCTGTTCACCACCACCACCACCACCACCATTTACCTCTTCTTCAACCCAATACCCCTTTATCCAGTTAATTAATCCTCATTCCTTTGCTCCCAATTCAAACAACACTTCAGAAAAGACTTCTGTGACCCCCAGACAAGTTCAAATCCTTTTTTCTTCCCCCTCAGAATCAAATCCACTGTGTAGCATCTAGGATCGCACTCTATATTTGACTGGTTATGTGACTGTTTGATTACCCCACTAAGGTGTGTTTCCTGAGGGCAGAGACCACGTCTATTTTTGCTCATTATTGAATCATAGCATTAGCAGAGTGACTGTATTTTGTAGTTGTCACAAAATATTTGTTGAGTAAATAAAGTATGCAAAAGAGTTATTTGACTTTTTTTCCTTTTTATTTGAATCACACACACACCAGATGGTTTCTAATCAGCAAATTCTATCTTTTTTTTTTTTTCATTTATATTGTTCTCCAGTTTTATTGCCTGTTCTCCTGCCTCCTGCCTACCAGTAGTAACATCTTTGAGGATGACCTTGGCCTTTGGGTCTTCATTAATGAACACTGCAGCCCGGATAAAGTGCTTGTTCCATAACTTGCTTATTGCATAAGATTTTATTCTAGAGTTAGAAGGTGAGGGATGGTAGGAAGGAAAAGAAAATGAATTTCCCCCAAAACATTGGGATACAAAGTTTCTCTTTGAAAGTTAAATTACAGATCAAGCCAATCACAGCAAAGATTTACAAAATGCTTCCATAAAGAGAAATAGGACTCCAGAAGCCTACCAATACTGTTACACTTGGTAAGGCCTTGCTCTGTCTAAAACACAAATGTGATGCACTGGCCGGTTTGGCCCATGGACCAAAGAGTCACAGGTTCCATTTCAGCCAAGGGCATGTGCCTCGGTTGTGGTTCGTGCCAGGCCCTGGTCAGGGTCATGTGGGAGGCAGCCAATCCATGTTTCTCTTTCTGTCTCTCTCTCTGTCTCTCTCTCTCTCTCTCTGCCCCTCTTACTCTACCTGAAGATACTTGGGGAAAATATCCTCAAGTGAGGATTAAAAAATAAAAAGAAAAAAAGAAACGTGTCCACCTGAGGAGCCTAGTAGCATAATAAAGAGATGCTAGGCCACACAGATGGAGTGTCCACTGGGCATCATTCCATGGGGAAGGGCCAGCCAGGCTAGAGGGAAGGAGTGACCAGTCCTTCTAGCAGGTTGTTTGACCTTTGGTGTGGAGGAAGACACAGCGGGCTGCCCAAGGCTGATATCATTAAACATTTAAGTCACATAATTCACTTTTCTGATTCTGATTTCAAGTTTGCCAAGGTACTTTCTTATAATTAGGCTACAGATTGAATAGTTACAAGAAGTGAGTGCACTCACCAGGCAACCTCAAGAGTACACTGTTTCTGACAGTTTTGTTTCTTCTTTTTTTTTTTATCCTCACCCAAGGACATTTCTCCATTTTTTGTTCAGATAGAGTGGGAGAGAGAGAGAGGAAGAGAGAGAGAGAGAGAGAAACATCGACGTGAAAGGGACACACTGAGTGGCTGCCACCCTCACGACCAACCAGGGCTGGGGACAAACCACAACCGAGGTCCGTACCCTTAGCGGGAAACGAACCTGGGTCTCTCGGGACTGCAGGCCGATGCTCTAACCACTGAGCAAAACCAGCCAGGGGGACAGTTTTGCTTCTAACAGAAATGGTTAAGCTCCAGGTTTTAGAATCAGATGGCCTTTATTTGAACCCTGACTCTACCACTTACATACACACTAACTGGGAATTTCCTTCAACTTTTTCCCCCCAACTAAAAAAATAATCACAATACACATGATTATAGGGAGAATTAAATAAAGCAATGTATGTAATGCACTTAGCATAGAGGCTAGCAAACAGTTAGTGAAATAAGTAAGTTGACATTTTAATTTTATATAACGTTGACTTTTAATGAAAGTTGGAATACTAAAGAGATGAAAATTTTGATCCCACAAGGTCGAGGACAAAATCTGGACCTTGGGAAATCACCAAGATGATAGACTCCAGACTAGCCCTCACCTCCTGATACCTCTCTGTTCACTTGTGCAACATCTGTAACAAGTAACCAGGATTTGGCTTTATCTTCTTGTGTCTCAACCTGCCTTTTCCTGTTCCTTATTTCCCAGACATACTTTTTATGCAGAAGTAGATTTAGCTCTACTTTGCTCTCCCAGAGTCAAGAATTATTGTTCTATAAGGAAGTGGCTCCAAGCCCTGCCTTGATTTTTTTATCCTCACCTGAGGACATTTTTTTTTTCCATTTTTTGTTCAGAGAGAGTGGGAGGGAGAGAGAGGAAGAGAGAGAGAGAGAAACATCGATGTGAAAGGGACACATTGAGTGGTTGCCACCCACACGACCCAACCAGGGCTGGGGACAAACTGCAACTGAGTTACGTGCCCTTAGCGGGAACTGAACCCGTGTCTCTCTTTTACTACAGAGCAAAAGCATCATCTAGAGGGGAAACATGGGCTTCTGTTTTTCTAAGGCCACCATTTCCATACTTGCTCTTGAAGGAAAATACTTCAAGGACACAAGGAAACTCACAATATCAGCCCAGCTGGTGTGGCTCAGTGGTTTAGCGTTGACCCATGCACCAAGAGGTTACCAGTTCAATTCCTGGTCAGGGCACATGCCCATGTTTTGGGCCCAATCCCCAGTGGGGGGCATGCAGGAGGCAGCCAATCAATGTTCTCTCTCCTCGATGTTTCTCTCTCTCTCCCCCTTCCTCTCGCACTAAAAAATCAATAAAGAGCCCTGGCCGGTTTGGCTCAGCGGTTAAAGTGTTGGCCTGAGGTCCAGAGAGACCGGGTTTGGTTTCCACTGAGGGCGCATGCCTCGGTTGCAGTTTGTCCTCGGCCCTGGTTGGTCGTGCGGGTGGCATCCACTCATGTGTCCCTTTCACGTTGATGTTTCTCTCTCTCTCTCTTTTCCTCTCTCTCCCTCCCGCTCTAATTGAACAAAAAAATGGAAAAATGTCCTCGGGTGAGGATAAAAATGAAAAAATAAAAAATAAAAAATCAATAAAGAAAAAAATTTTGACCTAAAAAAATAATAATAATGAAAGAAAAGAAAAAGAAAACCACAATATCACGAGTCACAGATCAAAGACTCCATCATTCAGGGAATGTACCTAAATTACAAACAGACAACCCAAAGTGACTCTGGCAGACTATGCAGTTTTCGTTTTTCTGTTGCAGTTATCAGACTGCTCTATGACAAATACGAACAAACGCATGGCAAATTGTGTTTGGAGTATGGAATCGCGTCAATGTTTTCAAAGTAGAAATGCTTGCAAAAGTATTCTCATATCTCAAAGGTGGATGCTGGATATAGCTGCAGGGACTTCCTCTGACTTTGATTGGAACAGTGCTGTACTCTAATAAAAACTTGGTCCAGTGGCATCATTACAAGGGTTGTCAGGCCAAGTGCAAGGTGCCTTTCAAAGAGACTGCAGTGCCCCCTCAGTCCTTCCAAGACAAGATAACACAGTCTAAACTTTGAAGAAAACTTTCTTTTCTATTGTCACAGAGACCTCCAGTTTCATCAGCTGACCATTAGAGAATGTCTTTCAAGCATCCAGAAAAACAATGACTTGGTTGCTGCCCTCAAAGAACCCACCTAGAGCCTAAGATAAAATACCAAGTATTTTCTCCACTATATGGCTTCATTGAATTCCTATAGCTCTGCAGTAGGTATGTTATTATCCCCATCCTACAGGGAAAGAAACTAAGGCTAAGGGAGTAAATATTTTGCCCAAAATGACAGAGCCAGGGGTTGAACCCTGGAGTCTCTATTCCTTGGGTATGGATGGGCACTGTTAAGACTAGGGGGTTCAAACCTTAAGCTTGCTGTTCCAGCTTTTCTTATCAAACGAGGGCTCCCCAATTTCACTGACACCACTGACTTTTGATTTCTCCACTGACCCAGGATGAAGAGCCTTGTACCTCATGCCAGGACCAGGCTGTTAGAAGTGTAGTGCACCAGTGTGGCAGAGGGACCAGGGCACATGCCTGGGCTAGGGAGTCAGGCTGACCCCTGGGGTCTGCGAGCAAACCAGCCCCAGTTCACTCAGTGCCTCCAACTTGGATCCCTCAGAAGCTTATTCCCAGCTGCCAGGCCAGCATCCACCTTCTCAGGCCAGAAACCCACGAAGGGGCGCCAGCAGTCAGGGCCCGGCTGCCGCCAGCCACGAGGCCCAGGAGGAGCTGAATGAAGGGGAAGCAGCCCCGACCGACCGGGGCGCGCGGGCCGTCCGCATGCTGCCCGGCCCCGGCCCCTCGGTGGACGGGGCTCCAGCCCGACCACCGCGCGCAGCCCCCAGGTTCCCGCCTCTGGCTCCGGGCCCGCGCTCCGCGCTCGCCGCGCACAGGGGCTCGGGCCCGCCTCTCGGCAGTTTTCGCTTTCGTTTTCCTGCCGATATAGTTAAGGAAAATGAAAGTGGCCGTGGCCTGGGCTGGTGCGGCTGCCGTCGGGGCGAGGGGCGCATAGTTCGGCAGCGGCGGCCGCCGGCCGGGAGCCTGCAGCCGGAGCCTGGGCGCAGCCGCGCGGGGCAAGGTAAGCGCAGCCCCTTCGCGGCCGCCTCGCGGGCTCCTCCTTGCGGACCCGACAGGCGGGGCGCCAGGCGGTCGTCTGACCCGAGTCAGCCGGCCGGGGGTCCTGCCTCGGGGCTGGGAGGACCTGAGACGCGGCCCGCTGGGGCTGTCGGGGCTTGGATCCTCCAAGCCGGGCTGGAAGATGGGGAGGAACACCGACAAACGTGCCAAGGATGCGGCAGCCTGGGGTCGGGGTGGGACCGTGGCAAGGCAGGCCACCGCTCCCAGCACACGGTCCCTTTTTGTAGAACACCGAGCCCCCTCCCCCAACCGGGGTTTCGAAAAATCGAAGTGGGAGGATGGATGCATGTCAAATGCTGAGCGCCTGAGCTCAGCAGGGAGGAAGGAGCTCATCACTGACCCCTTCTTACCTGATAGATCCCTCCTCTTCCCCACTCGGCTGTGTCCCTCGAGTCGTTGGCTTTCTGCGTTTCTCAGATCTGGTGCACTTCGGCGCCCCTGCGGTGCCCTCCAAGCGTCTGGCAACTCCCCTCTCTTGGTCATAGACTTGGAGAGCAGGTAGGCTAGGATGCCGCCCCTCCTCAGGGTGAAGAACGGGGCTCATTCTGCAGGGACCCCAAACCCAGGGCTGGCATAAATGGCCAGGGATGGATGCACTCAGGGACCTAGTCTTGCCCAAACCATGAAACTTCCCACTGCATCAGCCTGGCAGAAGGGTGAAAGATGAGTGCTCTGGTCTTTGCCCTTGGTCAAATCTGAGGCTCACCCGTGGTATGAGAGAATTGGGCACCTCCTCAAGGCTGTAGAGGCAGCCCCTGACCTTGGCGCGCTTCCCATCCCCTAGCAGGAGAAGATATGCCAGCAGGTTGCTTGCTAGGCCAGTTGTGTGGGATAAGCAGAGGAGCTGGGCACTGAGTTTTGAAAGTAAAGTGGCAAGTCCACAGGTACTTGACTTACATTTGAGTGATGCCAGTTTTTGTAGCCAAGAACCCCCTTATACTCTACTTTTGTCTCAATAAAAAGGAATTCAGCTTAATCACATGGATCTGCTTGTAAGACCCATGCCTGAAACAAAACTATGATTGAAACAAAACTGGAATGTTCTTAACTTTGAAAATAGCCATTTGAATTTGACAAGAGATGACTCAACGCCCTAATTTTTAAAACATGGGGTGCCCCTCTGCCTTACCCCAGGAGGGTGGTGTTACTTTTAGAAAATACTGTCTTTTATCATGAGCCAGAAAATCAGATCTTTGATTTCACTAAGCTATGCCTTTTCTTCTGAATTCCCTGATGTCCTTCTCTTCCTCCTATTAACTATTTTTATTTTTTGTTAATCCTCACCAGAGAATTTTTTTTTCCATTGATTTTTGGAGGGAGTGGGGGGAGAGAGAGAGAGAGAGAGAGAGAGAACCATCCATCCATGTAAGAGACATGTTCATTTGTTGCCTCCTACACATGCCCAGTCTGGAGCAGAGATCAAACCTGCAACCGCAACCGAGGTACATGCCTTTGACTGGGAATTAAACCCAGGACCCTTTGGTCTTCGGATGGAGGCTCTAACCACTGAACTGTCATGGATGGTTCTCTCCCTTTCCTCTTGAGGGGGATCACAGTTTGCCACCCCCAAAAATATGCCTTTTGGGATCTTGATTTTAAGGTGGCTATTTTGAAGAAACAGAAGACTCAGAAAGAGTCTTTGATCCTTTCCTGCCTGAAGGAATTCAGATAGAAAATCCTGCTTCAGGAAGGAAACCCTAGCATATTGACCTTAGTATATTCACCTTAGCATATACAGTATGAACTAAGTGTGGCAGACTGGGAGAAATCTAGCAAAGCCTGTTTGTTAGACTCCCTTCTGTATCCCATTGTTTCTTGGTCGCCCAGCAAGAATTTGTTGACCACGTGTTTGCTCTTTTTTATCTATCTGTGAACTGCCTACTTTCCCTTTGAAATCCTAGATGCTCACTGCCTCCCTCTCTCTAGTCAAAATGGCATATAAGCCTCAACTGCCCAGTGCATCCTCAGTCTTATATTCTTATAAAACCTCTATATGCAATAAATTTGGACATTTTTCTCCTTTTAATCTGTCTCATGTTGATTTATTAGTCCAGCCAGAAGAACTTAGAAAGGTGGGAGAAAAATTATTTGTTTACACACTCTCTTACCTTCCATCTTCAGGCAGGAGGGGGGTGGTATGGTGGACACTATCCAGTGAATTTTTACCACCCCAGGTTCTTGCTTCTGTGTTCCTGAAAACTGGATGACTCAGCTGGGGACTAAGCAAGCTCCTGGCTTCCCCAATCCCTTTCCTCCACAGGTTTATTATTCATTGCTTTAGCCACCAGCATATGATGGTTTTTGTTATTACATTTTTTTACTAGAAAATAATGCAAGGGGTTTAATTTCTTTTCCTCAGTCTCTCTTTCATTTTTTTTTTTTTTTTTTTTTCCTCCCTTTATCTTCCATTTCTCTCTCAACACCCTCCTCCCCAGGCACACACAAACTTAGGCAGCCGTGCTGGCATATTTGTTCTTCCAAACTACCTTTCATTACATCTTAGAAAGTGTGTATCTTTGAAAGATATATCATGTTTTGCTTTGGTTATACTTATTTAAGTAAATAACATTGCACTATACATCTTATACTGCCCTCCCCCCCTTCAGCATTATGTTTTTGAGTCAACCCATAGTGCTGTATGTAAGGCTAGCTCATTACTCTTGGTTGTTGCATAGTTTTCTATCAATAGTGTACACCACAAGTACTTAACTAGTCTCCCTGATGAACAGTGCTGCACCAAACATCCTATTGGGTGTCTCCATGTGGTCTTGTGCAAGAATTTCTCTGAGATAGATAGATAGGAAATTTCTAGCTCTGGGACATTTGCATGATGTCTCTTTCTAAAAACTGCTACTTTGTGCTGCAGAATGGCTACATCAGTTTCCTCCTACCAGGAGTGCATAAAGAGTCCTTTTTCCAACATCTGTCACCACTTACTATTATTTAACTGATTTTTGTCACACTGGTAGGTTAAAACAGTACTTCATTTCTGTTTAACTGAGCATTTCATCATGTTGTCTTGCCATTTACGAATTGCCCAGCCATCTCATTTGCCTTTCTTTTAGGTTTCTGATATTTTTTCATTTTGTTTCTTACATAATAAAATGTTAATCCTTTGTCAAATGTAGATGTTGAAAGTCTTCCCCTAATCTTGTCGCCTCTCTGTTCACTTCATTTATGGTCTCTTTTTTATGAGTACTAATAGTGTAATTGAAATACAGTTTACATACCATAAGATTCACATGTTTAAAGTATACAATTCAGTGGTTTGTAGTATATTTTGAGAGTAACTTTTACCATAATCTAATTTTAGAATATTTGTATTACTCCATTAACAGTCACTCCCCAATACCCCTCAACACGCTCCTCCCAGTCCTAGACAAGCACCAATCTACTTTCTGTCTCTCTATACTTACCTATTTCTGGACATTTCATATAAATAGGATTATACAATATGTGATTTGTTGTGACTGGCTTCTTCACTTAGCATAATATATTGCAGCTTTATCCACATTACAGCATGTATCAGTAGTTTGTTCATTTTTATTGCTCAATAATGTTTCATCATATGAATATACAGCATTTTATTTATTCATTCATTAGTTGATGGATATTTAGGTTGTTTCTACTTTGGGGCTATTATGAATAATCCTTCTATGAGCATTTTTGTACAAACTTTTGTGTGAACATATATTTCCATTTCTCTTGAGTGTATACCTAGAATTGGAATTGCTGGATCATGTAGTATCTCTGTTTAAACTTTTGAGAATCTTTCAGACTGTTTTCTGAAGGAGCTGCAACATTTTACAATCCTACCCGCAGTGCAGGAGCATTCCTATTTCTCCATCCTCACTAGCACTTGTCTGTCTTCTTGGTGATAGCCATCCTAGCAGACGTGAACTGTGGCTCATAGTGGTTTCGATTTGCACTTCCCTGGTAGTTAATGATGTTGATTGAGCATCTTTTCATGCACTTATTAGTCATTTGTCTATCTTTTTATTATTTTTTTCTTTATTGATTTTAGAGAGAGAGGAAGGGAGAGGGAGAGAGAGAGAGAGAGAGAGATTGATTGGTTACCTCCCAAATGTGCCCTGGACCAGGTCCGGGATCGAACCTACAATACAGGTGTGTGCCCTTGTCCAGGAATCGAACCCTTGACCCTTCGGCATGAAGACTGACATGCTCTAACCACTGAGCACACGGGCCATGCATTCTTTATTAAAGGTCATTTGTAGCCCCGCCAGTGTGGCTCAGGAGATTGAGCACTGTCCCATGGACTGAGAAGTCTGGGGCGTGCAGGAGGCAGCCAATCAATGTTTCTATCTCTCTCTCTCTAAAAAATCAATAAAAACATTTTTTTAAAAATCATTTGTAGATTCAATAATATTACTATTATAAGTGATATCTTATTTTGTTACACTGTTGCCTATTACACTGTTACATAGTTTCTCTTTGGGGGGATGAGGGTTGGTTACTACTAGTGTGGAGAAATGTAGTTGTTTTTGGTGGATTCTCTTGAGAGTTATATGTAAATAATTACACTACTTGCAAACACTGATAACTTTTGTCTCTTTCCTTCTGATGTTATGTTTGTTTTTATCATTTCCTCATAGTGGCTACTGCCTCTACAATTATATTACATGGTGATGGTAATAGCAGGTATCTTTGTTTTGTTTCATCCCTTAAAGAAAATAGATCTAGTTTCTCTATTAAGCATGATGTTAGCTCTAGGTCTGTAGATGATAGTCCCATTCCTTAGGATCTGAGAAAATAAATAAAATCTCATGCACTGCTCTCTAGTGAAAAATATAAAAACAAAGTGTGATAGCTAAACCAATGAGTAATCCAGCTAGGAAGAAAAGAAGGTAGTGGAAAATACAGGAACTTGTTCTCCTAATTCTGCTTCTCTAAGAGTTGTTCTTATTTGTTGTTTTTTAAATC